ATTTTTTAATAATGTATATTATTATGATATCATCCATATCACTTATAAATTGCCCATTATCTTTTCAAAAAATTTTTCAAAGTTTTTGCGAAAGAGAGGAAGATCATGGATAAAAATGAAAATGCAAAATTTCTCAATTTTTCTGCATCGCTGAAACAAATTGCAAAAGTAGAAATGTTCCTTGTTTTCCTCTGCTCATACTGAAATTGTTCAAGGGCGATGGTTCCGTTTTTCACAAAACATATCCACAGTTCTTTACGAAAGCAGGTGAGGCAAGTTGGCAGAAAAAGCGTCTTCATTTTGCAGCTTGGTCTGCTTGGCGCTTTTGTCAATATTAACAACATCATGATCATGCTGTCTACGAAAGACCGTCATACCTCCTATGGTCATCTGTGCATAGTCAGAGGCTTTTACAATATCACAAATCTTTCCATCTTTATACTCTACACGGGCCCAAATACTGCTTTGTAAGTTATATAGTTTTGCCAAAAAACAATAATATTCACCTTTAACTCGCTAGCTGTCAGAGCGATAAATGTTTTTTCTTCTATCGAGCTGCTCATTTACAGTCAGTATCTACCATTGTGGGACGAAGTAGGAAGAGTTATATGCTTTTTTGTTAGCACTATCTATGCAGCTTTCCCCTTGCTACAACTGGGCGTGACTTATAATCGCGTAATCGCACTTTTCTTCCCTCTTCAATACGACAAACTATGCACCGTCAAAGCGGCTTGGGTAAGATTTTCAAGCAAATTGCAAAGCCTATGGTAAATAAACTTCAGGTTTTTATAACAGCAGGATTATCTTATGGCCTCTACTTCATCATTCATCAGCTTGCTCGTAAGTAAAGTAATATTCATCGATAAAATGTTGCTATTTAACAGTGTACATGATTTAGTTGGATGTCGTTTTGTTTACAACCCTAAAATGCTAACTTGGAAATATCGTAATTGTCCATACGAAGATAAAAGATACAACTTTATATATCCTATATTGACAATGACTGGAATTGTCCTACTGCTAAATCTGACTGTCGCTTCTCGACTTATGTTCATGGTATGTGTACTGCTATGTAGATGAAGTAGCATGGATGCTTGCAGTGCGCTATGCTGCTCATTCTTCTTGAAAATTTGGGAGAAATCGCAATGAGATTTAGTGCAGACTTTTTTTAAACCATATAATTGCTTGTCTGTTTGTAATCTCTTTTTTATGATTGTGATCCGGCTAGATTTCTCATAACTTGCTTTTGAGATTTGAAGGAGTGCAACCTAGTCATTGGCTTTGTCAACTAAAGTACATCCCCGCGCATACGAAATTTTGTAGGTGTGCTTGAGTCGAAAATTTTATTGGTCTATAAAGTCACAAGTCACCCCCACAATGGTCGGCCGCCTCATCGTGGTGTGGAGGTGACACCGGGTGTCGAACTGCGATGCACAGCAGAGTGTATACTCTGGCAAGGCCTCCCAAGCTGTGAAGGAGTTCGACGTTCCCGGTTTTGGCCGGATGCCTAGCGAGCAGGCCAGGCCAGATCCACCGCCGTCTGGTTTTCCGGTCGCTACGCGGTCCCCCCGCTCCACATCCGGGGTCAGCGATCGCCTCGTGGAAATCAAGAGATGGCCTAGTAGTCTTCTCTTGTAAGGGAAAACTTTAATTATTCCGTCAGCAAGAAGAGATAAAATAAACCCTGTTCATCGGATCCCGCCCACGGCGCCGGGTGGTAGCAAGAACGATGACAGGGTCCTGAGGGCGCCTTTTGGATTAGACAAAAACGTCGAAAAGATATATAAAATAGGAAAGTTTGGATATGGGCTCCGAAACAAAAACAGCAACCGTCTCGTTAGCTTTCTTTCCGCAGCACGACTTTTCCATGGAACTTCCATCTTCATGAAGAAAGAACATCGACAGTGGACATGGGAATCGCCCAACGGAATGACTCACGCGGAAATCGACCAAATTTTCACCAACCGTAGGTGGAGCTTGCTCGATGTTTCAGTTGTTCCATCCTGCAGTGGCTCCGATCACCGCCTCCTACGAGCGAAGGCTGGATACACTAAGAAGACGTTTCCGTAATAGGGATTGCTGGCTTGTCTGGAAAAGAAAGTCTGTCATAGTGCCGCGAGAAGGAAGGAAGTCGTTTATGACGGTAACAGGCTGGAACAGCTCATATCAAGTTGTGACTGGCCCATCAAGGAGGACCCAACGTATGACTACGACCGGCTTCTGAAAGGATTGCAAGCCTGTGAAGAGTGTGCGTGCCTCATGATTTCTGAGAAGAACTTGGTACGCATATTGAAGACCATCAAGGAATTGCTCGAAAAAAGAAGATTTCTGAGGCAGGATCCGAATACAACTCATCTCGAGCGACTGATAGCCAACGCCACTTATAGAACAGCTTTGCAGGAGGATACCAGGAAGTGCAGGCAAGCCAAGATACTGGAAGCAGCCGAAGGAAGACGAAGTCTTAAAAAGTGCCGAAGGGACCTCTGCGAATATCACGTGCCGCTGGCTGCACTATTGAACGAAAACGGGACTCCGACTTTTTCCGATGTAAGATGGAGTCTATCGCGAAGAACTTCTATATCAACCTCTTCCGCTAATCAACACCCGTGCCGATGCCCATTGTTCCCACTGGAAAATACCACCATGAATTCTACCTGCTAAAGTGCGCACTTCGGCGATTCAGACCATGAAGATGTCGACGGCTCCAGGACCAGATCATCTTTCCGTCGACTTTCTGCGAGCCGGAGGACAATATAAAGAGATTCTCTCGTCGCACCTGACATCTTACCTGCGAAGGAAAGGATTCCCGAACAGTGGAGAATGTCAAAAACCGTCCTTCTCTTTAAGAAGGGTGAACGGGAGGATCTTCGGAACTACCGTCCAACATGCTGCTGAGTTTGCTGTACAAGCTTTTCACAAAGATAATCCTCGCCCGCGTATCTAGGACAATGGATGAAGCCAAACCTCAGGAACAAGCTAGATTCCGCAAGGAATTTCAGTTGCATGGAGCTCATCCAGACGGTTTCGAAAGTCATAAAAGTCTGCCGGGAGTACCAACTGCCTTTCGTCGTAACCTTCGTCGACTACGAGAAAGCCTTTGACAGCGTCGAAACCAATGCCATTCTGTCTGCGCTAGTCGATCAAGGAGTGGACCCAGCTTACGTGGGGACGTTAGCCGACTACTACAAGGAGAACAACGGCGATGCAGCTATTCCATCGCCCCCTGACCATACCAATTGGGAAGGGGGTCCGACAAGGCGACACAATCTCGCCGAAGCTGTTCACCGCGGCCTTGCAGTAGGTGATGAAGTTACTGGACTGAGACGAGAGAAGCATACTAGTTGATAAGAGATTCCTGTCGAACCTTCGTTTTGCGGACGACATCGTTCTGCTCTTGGGCAGTATCACTGAAGCAGAGACGATAGTGAAGGGACTAAAAGAAGCAGGGAAGAAGATCGGATTGCGAGAAAATTGAAAGAGGACTCAGTTCATGAAGAACGTCCTTTGCGGAGATGCAGAAATGGAACTGAAAGGCACCCTCTATCATGTCGACATCTTCTTACGTGTATCTCGGACGTCTCGGATAAACATGGAGAACGACAGGAGAACTTAGCAGGAGGAAGAAGAGCAACCTGAGTAGCTTGCGGGCCTCTGAAGGAAGCCCGATCAACTGAAGGACCGGAGCTTGATGCCATCCTGTTGGACTCAACGGTTTCCCCGGCGTTCTGTTGTGCAGCTGAGACTTGGGCCGACATCGTAGCCACGTCGAGAGCTTTACGGACCACCCACAGAGCGCTCGAGCGCAGTCTTCTGAAGATAACCCGACGCAAGCAACATTTAGTCGGACGCCGCAGTGCGGATATTAGAAGAAGGTCCCGTCTTTGTGACCCAGCGGAATATGTAGTGAAAGCGAAACATTGATGGGCCGGTTACATCATAAGAAGAACAGAAGACAGATGGGCATTAAAAACATCTGTGGGGTGGATTACTCCCGAAGCCAAACGTCCCCGAGGAAGATGGGCAGAGTGTTCGTGGAAAGATGGATCAGCTGAGAAATCAAATGAATACGATTACCGCACCTGGAAGGGAAGAGATGGAACACTTATTTTAACTGCATATTTTTCGAAAAAAAATCTGATCAGGTGCTCTAATTCTGATGGATCTAGGACATACTATTCACGTTCAATCATTATTTGTATGGGGTCATTAAAATTTTTAATAATCCTTTTATTTAAATGCACAATCAATCACATCTACAAAGCATAGACTATAAGCAGTATCCGAGCAGTAAAACATGAAAGATTCCCGAGGTACCACTGCTGCAGTGAGTGTGGGGAAACCACCAAACCTACGATGGCTCGATAATATAGAGTTCATAGTTAGGAGGTAAGGTCAGTCGTTCCAAAAAAATACGTTTGTTATTTCTTTCTTTACAAGTGAACGCACATTTTATGGCTAACATCTGATAGAGCTTTACAGACACTATCCATTCATATGCAGTTTGCCGAAACTTTCGTTCTTCTTTGGAAAATTTTAGCTAAAGCACAACTTTTTGCTCTTTTATTACGCCAAAAACCTTTTTTTTTCACTTTTTGGTTTTACTTGAAAACGAAAAGGAATTGTTTTGGACAGTATTTCATTTGCATCATAATTTTACGGTATAGCAGCGCAGGACGAGATGTTCAAAAAATCTTGTCCGACTTCGCGGCGCCACGCAAGTTTTGTGAGAGAGGTGCGGTAGCGAGTTACCAGAATGATAGGCGATGGTCGCTTATGTAAGTGACGTTTGAGTTGTAGCTGCTTACTGTTGTTTAAAACAAAAGATTCAAAATGTTATAAAATCAAACTGTCCCATTGTTTTCCGTTCAGACTAATATAAGGTGTTCACAATTATAACAAAACCAATATATAATAGTATCGGTCTTCCGATATACAACTCTTGGTTATTCCTTGAAGGGACGGCTTCTTGTTATGGCCGTTCAAAAAATGACTGGCGCAGCATGCTCTTTAATTTCATCAAGGTAAATTTATGATCTGCATGGTTGAAGAAAACCCAATCATTTTGAATTGCTTACATTCAGAAATCTGGAGAGACATCATCTGGTTCGCATGAGAAGAAGAAGAACAAGAGGATGTTTTGGCAGGTACTCTATCAACTGCATGTTTGAGCCAAATATTTTGCTTCAGAGCTTTGTACAAGATCTTTTTAACGCCAATGACTTGGTTTGGCAGTGTTTTTTGAGCGGTTTAGTTACAAACTCACGGATGTGGGTTTTTTTCGCGGACACATTGGTATGGGAACTATCACCAATTTGTGACGGGTAATGTCTAGCATTCATGATTACCGCCTTACAAAGCACATTCCCTTTAGATTGGTGAACCTACTTTTTGATGGGAAACTGCGAAGACCATTCTGGTCGAAAAGGAAGAACGGATGTCAAACTACCGAGCAACCTACACGGTCCATTTTCAAAACAGCTACATCGCGGAATCATTGACAATGGAAGTCGTGTAATGATCTTTTCTGTTGAAAAAACATTTTATCGTCTTCTCGCTTAGTAAATGCGGAGAAAACTTCGAAAAAAATCAAAGCTTAGGTGACATTTCCACTGTGGAAACTGCAACTCAAAAACTCTAATCCTGAAGATCCGGGCATCTAAAATTCACAATGTTTATCAACCCATAACTTCTTTTACCATCCTTTGCTCAAAACACACCGAAAAGGGTGCACTGTTGTGTAAGCCGCGTTTTCCAGCTTTTTGTACTGTCACCTAGTAATACTCTGCAGCCAACCTTATCCTCTTCAAAGCCGTTTTTCCTACTCTGAAGTCAACGGAAACTCTGGTTAGCATCAGGCCAAAAAAAGAGTGTAGCACACCAAAAACAAAGTGTCCCGAAACACTGTATCGAACGTTTGCCTAAAAAGACGCCTTATAAAGAATGTCATCTTATTGTGGAGCTAGCTTTAACTTGGATTTACAACATGGAGCAGATCACTGATTGCCTCTCTCACGCAGAACACGGTAGAAATATGCATAAGGGTCAGAGCAATAGAAGGCCCTATTCTGTTAAACTAGGCTAATTCGCATTGAATTCAGATATTAAGTTTGTACTTCAGCGTTTTTACTTCTATCATGAGGTATACAAAAAATAAAACAACGGACGTTTTTTCAATCTTCCTCAATGCAATTACGCCGCTCATAAACCTTAAAGACATTAGAAAACTGAAAAGTAAAGTTAACGTTCGGAAAACTTTGTGCATAATTTTTGAAATTTTTTGATAAAGATTGGAAGACGGCCTTTTGTAATTCTACGATAATAGACAGTGACCGGTGCCCCCTACTACGTACTGCAAATCTAAGCTGAAGCCAGCTCTACAGTGTGTTTTTTTATTGCCCATGAAAGCTTTTCATAGAAAAGAGTTATTTTTTATCAAATCTCACATTAGATACATAATTATACACCCTATATTCACAACGAGATAGTCACAACGAGACACAATGAGATCACTGTTACTATTATTTTTTGAAGCCTTTGTTGCAAGTATTTGGTTCTTATGTAGCAAAGTCAGTGGTTTGTTTTCGAATGGCTTTATGGCAAAACCTCCTTTTCTCAAGACACATTTTTTCAAAATCTTATATATAAAGCTGAATGTCTGTTTGTATGTATGTCTGTCTGTCTGTATGTCTGTCTGTCTGTGTGTACGTATGTTCCGAATAGAAAATTCCATTTCTGAACCGATCCGGACCAAACTTGGCACACATACACATCGGGCCCCGGCGGGTGTCATAGGCTACTTTTCGTCATCGATCGATATCGATTTTATCGATTTTTATCGATTTTTTTGCTGAGTTCACCTACGGGGCTGGGAGTTGGCACAGGGGGGTAAGTGAGCATGGGGATTCCGAATACAATATTGGTTTAACAGGATTATCGATTACTTTTATCGATTTTATCGATTTTTTGCAAAGTTTGAGCTACGGGGCTGGGAGTTGGCACAGGGGGGTAATCGAGCATGGGGATTCCGAATACAATATTAGTTTTCAGGATTATCGATTACTTTTATCGATTTTATCGATTTTTTTGCAAAGTTTGAGCTACGGGGCTGGGAGTTGGCACAGGGGGGTAATCGAGCATGCTGATCATCCCCAAGGGGGGTGATCAGCATGCTCGAACACCGCTGTGCCAAATTCCAGCCCCCTAGCTCAAATTTTCAAAAAATCGATAAAATCGATAAAAGTAATGGACGATCTTGAAAACTAATATTGTATTCGTAATCTGCATGCTCGATTACCCTCTGTGCAAACTCCCAGCCCCGCAGGTCAAACTTTGCAAAAAAATCGATAAAATCGATAAAAGTAATGGACGATCTTGAAAACTAATATTGTATTCGTAATCTGCATGCTCGATTACCCTCTGTGCAAACTCCCAGCCCCGCAGGTCAAACTTTGCAAAAAAATCGATAAAATCGATAAAAGTAATGGACGATCCTGAAAACTAATATTGTATTCGGAATCCCCATGCTCACTTCCCCCTGTGCCAACTCTTAGCCCTGTAGGTGAACTCTGCCAAAAAATCGATAAAATCAATAAAAGCAATCGATAATTCTGAAAACGAATATTGTATTCGGAATCCCCATGCTCACTTCCCCCCTGTGCCAACTCCTAGCCCTGTAGGTGAACTCTGCCAAAAATCGATAAAAATCGGTAAAATCGACATCGATCGATAACGAAAAGTGGACTGTGACACCTGCCGGGGCCCGAAGTGTGTGTGTGCCAAGTTTGGTCCGGATACGGCGGAGCCGGGTAAGCCAGCTAGTTCTTTATAAATTCAAGAATTTTGACAAGTGAATGCTACATTGATTTGTGTTTTACCAACTTTGGTCATTATATTCCAGTAATCGTGAGCTCTCGTTCCCAATATTGTCATGTTTTTAGTTGAAAAACGGCTTGATTGTTTTTCAATTGCGCATAAAGTTTATTGTGTTTGAGTGTACTGAGCTATTTTTGTTTTCAAAAAAGTGATTGCAAAATTATCCGTTGAAAGAGTGTTAGATCTCCAACGGTCCATTACAAGTAAATTTCTTGGGTACATTTTGCGTGAAGTTCTCCATATGCTGCTTCAGAGCTGAGTCAAAGCAACTAGTCAGTGGTCGAATAACTGAAAGCGCGAATTTTCCATCAAATTGCGCTACTCAATCAATTAAAGTTTGTCGAACGGCTTCTCAACCAGGCACTTCAAAATTTGTAAGCTAAAAGAGCATGGAAAACGTCATAGTTATTTAAGGGAATTAGTTGATAATTAGCAAAGCACGGCATGTATGCTCTAAAATACTGAATGTGTGAAGAGACATCTGGAAGAAATTGCCAAAACGCAACGCTCAACTTTGAGTGTCATAATAGATTCCCACACCATAGTCCACTTACCGTAGGCATAGCACTCTCTGTTTTAACAGTAAGTTAGCTATTTGTTTATGTACTTATTACGAAGCATTGCTGTGTCTTTGTCTACTTGTCGGATACCAGTCCAAATAATTTTTTTTTTGGAATTAGAAGTCAGTGAAAATCTCGCTTGTCCCATTTTTCGCTTGCAGAGGCTGTTATTTTAGCATCTGTAATTGAGATTGAGAAGTTTCGATTTACTTTGGCAATAACGAAATTTAGGCTATTGGACTGTCTAAATATCAGTCGCCAACTAAGTTAATGGGGTAGCACTACCCCAAAAAGGTGGCTGCCACACAATATTTGGGTCCAACCCCATTGATTTACTGCCAAAGCATTCATAGATGTGGGCTTTACAAAATATTAAAACCGCTGAGTCTTTCTCCCTTTGCTATATGTAGGAACATGTAGTCAACCAATTCTAGATCTATGTCAAATGCTGGATTAGGATAGTGTGTCAAAACCGCGCCAATACGTAAACTTGAGGAAGAGAGGCATTGCAATTTGATAGGTCCAGGGGTCGTCTTCACCGTGTGACTAAGCCTAATTCCTTCTTTAACCTGAGTGGTAGTTGCTAAACACGGCCGTGAAAAGACAAAATAAGACGAACGAAATTTTGGCTTCTTTTAACTGTATACTTAGGCAGTCATTTGCACTGGGATTTTCCAAGTGAACAAAGAAGGAATAGTGCTTTTATTGAGTGCAAAAGGGAGTAATTAGCTCATTTTAAAACAACTTTGATGATATTTGAAGTAACCATTTTACTTAGGTAGCCCAACAATCGACATTCGCTATAATTTATTCCACAGGATATTTCACAGTTATTAGGCTTTGTAGAACCTTTTTGCAACGAGTGCACGTACTCGATGATAGTCCAGTACTTGAGTCAGTGTGCTTCATTCAGTGGCGGACCGGGAGGGGGGGGGGCTGGAGACCTCCATCTCCCCCCCCCCCCCCCCGAAAATGGATCGCGAAAATCTTGAAATTTTCTTACATGGGTCATAAAAAATGTGCAAGTAAGTTGTGAAAATCAAATTAATTTGAAAAAAAAAACACAAGTTAGCCTTGCATAAAACCTTTTTTGAAAAAGGGGCATGGCTGCAGCTATGCTTCTTTTTCTAAATTTTAGGGGTCTTGCGCTCGCAAAAATTCTAGGTGCCTTTTGCTGAGAAAAAGTACCCCAAACACAGGTAACAAACCGACACATCTGAGTCTTACCTTCGCTCGGCGTAAGCCCTGTGTAATAAGAATTAAGACGCTCGTGAAAGAAATTATTTGACGACTTCCTGCAAAAAAATTCAGTACTGCTGCCCGCCGTGAGAACATGCGATAGTAGGAAGTATCGCTCGCTGAAGGTTCGGCTACGCCCCAAAATTCTGCTGACTGTTTGCACGAAAGCGCTGGTTTTTGGTCTGCCTGCTTCCGGCGATTGTCTGAGAACACTAGCCCTCACTTAAAATTCCAAAATTTTTTCCTCAAATACTGCAAAAAAATTTCTTCGCAATACCTTGTAGCCAACATGCTGTCCGCATAGAATGGTGACCATAGGTGCGATAGGTGAAGCAAAGTCCCCTGCAGGTGGAGGGGTCTCAGCTATTTTCGCCCTAGAGAATTAAAGAAGGGGTAACTGAGCTTTGACGCGAATGCTGACGGAGGCTAACATGACGAGTGGGACTGGATTGTGCAAAAAGGTTAAATGAAAATAAATGGTACAAAGATGTAATATGTATGAAGAATTTCTCAATGCTTTGATCTTGAGAGGTCATCAAACAGAAGCTTTTTTGATTCAGGAAAGCTTTGTGTCTCATCAGTCGACACACCACTCGAAAGCTTGGAACATGTAGAATCGACGTAGGCCGTCTCTTTTTTCTTAGCTGTTTTGCGAAGCAAGACATGAGCAATTTTATTCAGTCACAATATCAGCTAATTTTGTAAATAATATTATTCATTTTAAAACGGAAAGGTATCTTCTCAAGGCTTAGAAAGCTTGAACAATGAGAAATCAAAATGCTCTCATATTTACTATCATGCTTTTCAGCGAAAAAAAATCATTCAAT